CCCCAAAACCCCAAAACCCCAAAACCCCAGCTTGGTTATTTAAAATTGCAATTAATTATTATTTGCGAAGGCGGGCATCTTTACTAGGAGAGTCTTCAGCCTCTTTCTTCCTGATCTGATCATCTAGCTCGATAATTATTTGATCATTTGGATCATAATTACTATTTTCTATTAGATCTTGTCTGAGCTGTCTTAGCTCCTCTAGTCTACTCTGAGGCTTTTGTTGTTTATTTTGGATTCCATTGTTTTTGCCGATTCGAGTTTTAATCATATTTTGGGAAGCAAAAGGATTGGATGTTGCCATACTATTGTTGGTCTGGAACCCATCAGAGTTGACACCTTGGATATACATCATCTTGGCCTCTTCAGTAACTTTATCAGTATTTATTAAGTTTTGGGTTTGAATCCGGGTTAGTTCTTCTTTGACCATCTGTAGCTCCAGTTTCATTTGTTCATTATAGCTATTGTTTCTTTCAGCCATTTTAAGCTTCTCTAGTTCCTCTGCTTGCCTCTCTTGTTCTAGTTGTTTCTGTCTTTCGAGCTCTCTTCTTAGCTTGATACATTCTTGCTTAAGCTTTTTATATCTGATCTCATTATTAGCAATATCAGTGTGTGATTTTTCAAGTTGGTTGCTGATATCAGCTATTTCTAAGTTCTTTTTATTAATCTCTGTTCTCATGACACTGACAGGTGACTCCTCCATGTCTTTACGATAAGTCCTGTAGCTCTCTTCGTTCTGGTCGAGGAGCTCTTTGGCCTTGGCCACTTGTTTCTTGAGTGATTTGATTTCTCCCTGTAGAGTAAGTTGTTCTTCTTTGAATTTCTTCTTCATATTGAGTATTTCCTCCTCCTTATTGGAGAGTTGTCGAGAGACTTCTGAAATCTTGTGCTTGAGTTCGTCCTCAACTTGAATGATTTTTCCCTCCCTCTTTTGAAGTTCTTGGGCTTTGGTGCGGAGCTTATTTCTCTATATTTTCGACGAGGGACATTTTAGCAGTGAGTTCATCGTCACGTTTATCCTCCTTAAGCTTCCATTCCTTGGTAACCTTATCGATGGTTTCAAGCTCGATTTGTTTGAGGTGGTTTTTGAACTTTGCTTCTTCAGCTCGTTTCCATGTTTCAAGTTCCCATACCGCTTTGTATTCATCTGAGTCTTTATCAACTGGGTTAGCGTTTCTCCTGTTTCCAGACATGCTATTTTGAATCTCCTTTTAAATATTTTAAATTTTGCTAAGTGGAGTGGGGTTTTGGGGTTTTGGGGTTTTGGGGTTTTGGGG